GAACCATCATCACGCAAACTCCGGTTTTCATTTCATTTCATGTATTAGGTATAGAGCCATGTGGCTCTTGAGTCGGGTGCAACCGCAACAAACTAAATATGAACAGAGAAACATCTTAAAGCGACGACGCGCAACAGAAACATCCTGGAGAAACCAGCAAATTTTCCACAAAAAAGACCCCACAGTATTACAACGCTGTGTGCAAAAATCCCAGTGTGATGCAAGTCAAACAATGGTTATCCGCGCAGCAGCGGCAGCTTTTGGCTGGCTATCGAACAAAGACGGTCACCACATCACGCACTTTCAGATGCGCTTCTGCGGCTGTCTGGAATGCGCTTCCTTCCGATATTAGGAAGCCACTGGAGCTATGCCACTTTTAAATAATCTAGATTAAAAACTCATTTTGTGTTTAGTTTGCTGTCCTTCCCCCGCACCTCCTATTAGGACGGTTGGCTACGTACGGCGGGAAAGAAGTTCAACATGTTATTGCTCGTCGTTTATTCTGTTTGCCTGGTCCATGGGGCAGCACGCAACATGTTTCTGTAGTGTCCACTTCAAAGGGAGAGAGGTCTTGGACGACTGAAACATGCGTATGCTTGCGAGGTTATCTTAGATCTCATGTTCCGGCACCAGTGGCAACGCCACTGAGGACTCAGCAGGAGCATGTGTTGTGCCGTTACTCACTCTCTGTTTGTGATACACGTTGAGCTGAGTAGTATATATATATTTAGTTGAGTAGTATATACGTTTAGTGCAGTATTGATGTTTAGTTGAGGGTTTTTTTTTTTTATGAAGACAGGTCCAAGCATGGCAAATATTGAACTTGTATTTTTTATTGCTTTTTTTCCATGCATATACACCACAGATGTTAAAACTCATATAGCATAGGCCCTGCGGGAAAAAAAATATTTTGAGTTTTTTTCCCTTACATTATCTTTGTACGTGTGTAATGGGTTCAATTGAGGCACACACTCAACTTGGAGGCAACACTATTTATTAACACGCAACAACCAACGTGAATCTTGATTTGATCTAGATTTGAAGCTTTCGTGACTGCAGGAATCCATACTCTCTGGTTCTTTCGGTAAAATCCCGTAGATAGAAAAAAAACAACAACATGAACACTATACGTAAGGTGGTGACCACCGTTCCTAATCTCACTAACTCTCGGGGAGGGAATACTTCATAACGTGACCAGGGCAGGTTAACGGGCTGCCTGGTCACGGACGAAGATTGGAGACTCGAGGACCGCCGGTGGCGTCTTCATCCCGGGGTTGAACAGCCACGCTCTCTGTTCACACCCCGCTTATAACTGCTGCTGCTACGGCGTGGCCGACTCAGCCCCAGGCCACGCCCCCCTTCCCGATCCTTCGGGAAGGTCCGAGCCCCCAACCACGTGGCCCCCAAGCTCCCTCCTGGGGCCCCTAGCCCCCCCCTTCGTCCGTTCACGTGTCCTGTCGGGGTCACGCAGAGTGTCACGGCCTGACATGACCTCCGTGACACCCACCTACAGCATCCATTCCGAGCCGACACAGTAGTGACGTCATATGTCCCTACGCTCGTACAGTTCCGACACAGTAGTGATGTCGTATGTCACTACACGTGTATAGAAACGGTAATTCATCATCATCATCATCAGCCATGATCAATTCACTGTTGAATGTAAGCCCTACCCCAAGCTGTCAGAATCTTTCATGATCCTGCGATGTAATATTTCACTGCTGTCTCATCAGTCGGTCTTCTCAAATGCGTTGCATTTCTTGGCTCCTACTCAAGTCCTCATCGTCACGTTATATTCAACCTTTTCCAGCGCTTGTGGCCCTGCTAAGCTAAAAAAAAGGGGGGAATGCCGTGCATTGATTGCCACAAATAATCACTGTTCGTGACGATCTCGTCTTTTGTGTAGGAAATTACTTTCTGCGCGGTAACAGATAACCCATGGGTTCTGCGATATATTCTCGGTGTTTTCTCTCATAATTTCCTCCCAATCTCCGCTTCTCCCATTATCACGAGAATGACCTTTAGACAATGCAGGCAATGGCTGCTGCTGCTGCTGCTGCAGCCGGGAAAAAAAAAGAACACGAAGCTTTACGTTCCAGCGCGCGTGCGTAGTCCGTCCAGCGTCCACTGTCGTATTCTGCCAACTTAGTCCTTTGTGAAAAAAGATTTTCCAAAGAAGATGTTTCATACTTGTCCCCTTTGTAGAGATTATTAAGCCAAGGGCCAACCGTGACCGCCAACGAGCCAACGCCGTTCCAATTGGATGTTTTGATTGCAAAGTCTGTTGAAGGTTTTTTGTTTTTGTTGATTAGGCGCCAAAGGCGTAGCGCAGACGTCACGTCGCTGGCATGAGTAAAATTAAATTTTGTTGCAAATATGTTGGGCTCAATAAATGGACCGAATGTCTCGATTGATGTGTTGGTAAATGCAGAGGAAATAACCGCGTGTCATTGACAGTAATTAAATATCTTTCACTCAGAGCAGTGGCGAAAAGAAAATTCCAGTTGCTTTTGAAATGCAACTTTATAATTTTTTTGATTTAAAGCTTTCGTGACTGCAGGGATTCATAGTCTTGGTTCTTTCGGTAAAGTCTTAATTGATTGTTCACGCTTACGGTGGCTTTCAGACCGCATCCATTATATTCGTCTCCCCCCTCCTCTTTTCCGAACATAGATGGACTCGTCCATCTGAATAACTGCCAAATCGCTCTCCGTGGTGCTAACGTTAAAAAAACGCCACTTTTTTCAAATTTTCTTGCCGTGGTTTTCACACCTGATGATTGCTTGTGTTGCAATCGAAACGTCGTGAGAATTTTTTTGTTTAATATTTTTATTATTTAATTGTTTCCCTTCTACGTGACTTTACCGAAAGAACCAAGAATATGAACCAAGAATATATTTCTAATTATTGTTTTCAATCGGTGAATACTTCAGTTCATATGATCTTGCTCCAAAGTTGGATGAACAATGTACATGCATCCTCCCCCAGGGATAGCCATCTTTTCCCTAATTGTATCCCTATAGTGTTGGCGGCAGTTTGTAAAAATGCATTGCTTACTATTTGATTATTTCGGTAAAGTCACGTAGGAAATGCAGAGGAAATAACCGCGTGTCTTTTTCTTTGTTATTTGTGAACCACTGCTAATGCAATCTCATAAAACAAAATTAGGCATTGTAATGTAAGCAGAATTCTATCGCGGGCGGCGACGACGACATGGGATTTTGATAACAGAATTCATTCAGCCCGAATAATACGTTTGGCCGCCTTGCCCTTTGAAATGTTGCCATGCATTAAACGCTGCAGCAAGACAACCCATTTTTAGGCTTTGCCTTGATAACCTTTAAGAGAAAAGCACGGGGCGTCTCCCCGTAGACCTGCAACGGCCTGTGCGAATATTCCACAGGCCAGGGCTAATATCAGCTGCGTCTGCATTCAACTGTAAATTGTTGAAACAAAAATATTAACACGAGAACAATACGAATGCAAATGAGAGCTGTGTTTCCTTTTACACAGAATTATAATTGGATGGTCGTTGTTGTTGTTGTTGTTGTTATTAACTGTCTAATCCCACTGGCAACCGCCCCAATCATCTCTTTTTTCAAAGTTTTTTTTTTTTTATCGACGGTGCAGATTCACGTACAGAGCGGGTTACTACACAATTAAGAATTAATGTGGTTTTAATTTACTTAATAAGTCGTACTTTACATGAAAGGTTTTCCTGTTAATCCACGAATTGGTGGGTGAGCACAGGGCAGCTTAACATTGACAAGTCACGACCACGGCCTTCGTTATGCAGAGTCATTCCCGTCTCTCGGGAAATTAAAAGTTCAAGCAATGAAATTCAAATCTTCCAAAGGGGTTTTCTCCATGCCGACAAAAGCGCAAAGTAGCTGGTCATTATGCCTGTGTTGCCATGGATTCATTCAGCACTCTGTTTGTTATGGCCCCCTGCGGCAATATCTCTCCGTGCACCGGCATTCGATCGCTCTCTGCTTGCCGCGCGTGTGATCTTTGTGCCACGGCGTGTGTGGCCGGAGACTTACGGAGCGGCCGCCACACGCTTTTGGACAGTTGACATTCAAAGCACAGACGGGACTAGAGTTGTTGTAATGAATGATACTCACAAATGTGAAATCAATTTGCGGCTATGTAACGTTGTTTAAAGAATAAGCCTAATGTAACTTTTAAGTTGGTGTAAGTTTTTTTTTTTCCAATTAGTTTTCCAAAAGACTCTTGACTTTCCCAGTATAATTTGAATATCCTAAATGCACATCAACCGGAAGTCCATAATAGATTTTGGGGTCATGCCACGTAATGTTGTTAAGGCCCCCCACCACTTGACACAGCCCAGGGGCGCTGTGCGTGCGTTTTAACGCGCTTATTGCAATTGCGTTGGCTCACCAGGGAGTGGGAGATCGAGCCTGACCACCAAAACAGTGCCACGGACAACAGCAGAAGCGACAAAACCGCGCAGCAGAATCCTGATTTTAAGTTTGTTATCGTTATTTCAATTCACATTCATGAACATCAACTTCGACACTTTGACAGTTTCAGAAATTCAGTGGTTTTTTTGCATACTCTAGATACGGACTGGGGGTGGTGGCACACGTATGTACACACGTACGTATGTTGAACTTCTTTCGCGCCGTACGTAGCCAACCGTGCAGTGGAACTCCCAAAGCCACTGGGGTGTGACATGGTCATGATGTGGCAGCGCAGCAGGTGGGCTCGTGAACCCATCCGTGTGGGCCCCTGAGCGTTAGCCCCTCGTACGCTTTTTTGTTTGCCTGCGTGCCTGAGTGTCCTCCCACGTGACACACACTCCCTCAACAGGTATCGTCAAAATATCACAAAACCAGATCTTGGTATGAACTTAGTGAGGCTTTCCTGGATAAATTGTATCCCAGTGTTGCTAATGCATGTGCGTGTGTGCAATGTGCCGTTTCTCTGCTTTTTTTTTACTGTTGGGCTTTTTTCTTCTTTTCCCTCGCTGCTCCCAGGGCAATAATTATCCGGGGAGGAGAGATCATCTCGATATCGTCAGAGTTCACCCCAGAGACGGAGCGACAGAGGCTGCAGTTTCTGGTGAGCGTCCATCTCCGTGCATCGCTCTCCATCCTGCGTGCTACGATCATCGTGATTCGATTTTGATAGAGCGCCTTCATTTGCGCCGGGGCTTCTCAGACTTGGCGTCCCGTCAACTCAAACCTTTCAGAGGGCACCCACCAGTGTCAGCTGACTGTGACGGGGAGCACCTGCCCTGCAAGCGTTAGTCTGCCAGTAGGATGGCAGAGTGAGGCAGACGTACAGCTCGTATGTGTCAATGGGGGCTCTCCTGAGAACAGACCGGTCTTGCATCAGTGAAGGCTTTGCACCATATGAAGTTACTTCGTGGATAATTCTGAACTCATTACACATGACGATATTTTTACTCCGAGCGACAATCCAGTTCTCGGTACTCGCTGGCTGAGAAGTGAGAGGTCTTGGTAATTATATAAAAATATATATATCTTTAGTTTAATTGAAGACTGGATGACGGGTGGATAGTGTGGATGACGGGTGGAGAGTGTGGATGACGGGTGGAGAGTGTGGATGACAGGTGGAGAGTGTGGATGACGGGTGGAGAGTGTGGATGACGGGTGGAGAGTGTGGATGACGGGTGGAGAGTGTGGATGACAGGTGGAGAGTGTGGATGACGGGTGGAGAGTGTGGATGACGGGTGGAGAGTGTGGATGACGGGTGGAGAGTGTGGATGACGGGTGGAGAGTGTGGATGACGGGTGGAGAGTGTGGATGACGGGTGGAGAGTGTGGATGACGGGTGGAGAGTGTGGATGACGGGTGGAGAGTGTGGATGACGGGTGGAGAGTGTGGATGACGGGTGGAGGGCATGGATGACGGGTGTTCATAGTTTGCCATTACGGTGAAAATATCCTCTGTCACCTGTCCACATTCTGTGGTCTCCATCAGGCAGGGCATTGTGAGAGCATACAAATCACTTGTTTGTTTGTGGTGTTTGTTGCTGGTGTTTGTTGGTGGTGTTTGTTGGTGGTGTTTGTTGGTGGTGTTTGTTGGTGGTGTTTGTTCGTGGTGTTTGTTGGTGGTGTTTGTTTGTGGTGGAGCGGTGGCACAGCAGTTTGTTCGACTCAAGTTCGATTCCGACTCACGGCCAACACAGTGACGATTATACCTGAACCTGTCCTGGGCCTTTTCTCCTCGGTCGACTCAACCTCAAACGAGTACCTGGTGCGGTGTGTAAACATCGCCACTAGGGAGACAAAGGCGGCCGTGGGTGGTGCTGGCCAACCCGCCCCCTCGTGTGCCGTGCCGGCCTTCAGCGGTGCTCGCTAACGGCACTTGCCCCAATAGTCTGTTAAGGCTATAAAGATAATCTTTGTAAATAGTCTTCGTCTGAATACAGGAGTGCTATTATTACAACCTTAAACCAGACGTGTGCAGAGGTGACCCAATTAAATCCACAAAGCACAGTTTGATAGAATTTAGCAGTAATAATTGAGTATATTTGGTGTTCGCACGAGGCTATCATCAAGGCAGTATGTTTTCATAGATATAGTCTGAAAATGGTTTCGCAAAAATGGGACGATGTTTTGCCAATGCGCGTGTTCCCATTCGAGACGTTTGTAGGTGAATTTTCAAACGTGTTGGAGTTTTTCATCGCACAGGGGAAACGGGCAACGGTGCCACCGCAGTGCGCGTTTTTACATCGCGGGGGGCGACGAATTTGCCCGGCGATGGGTGGCGGCAAGGGACGTGGTATCGTGGCTTCGTCGCGAGCTTCTTGGTGATTTTAAGTTGGGAACAAGCCCTGGGAAATGGGGACACTCCAAGGGGAAGGGTAAATGACTCGTTTTACCCGAGCAATGATGCACAGATAAACACGAACGAGAGAATACATTTCCGCGTCGCTCCTCTTCTCCGTTGCAAAGTCGCGCGTCATGGGATGAATTGTCGTGCGAATAGTGTGAGTTTCCATGGATGGCTTCTTGGTTGCAGATGATAGGAGTGTCGATGAGTTGGTATACAGATAAGAGGAATATCACTGGTGTTGGCCACCCGCCCCCTTCGTGTGCCGTGCGGGCCAATGTTTTCTTATTCATTATTGCAAACATATTTTTTGATGTAAAATTGGTAAATGTAATGCAACAAAGCATGGCTTTTAGACAATGTTATAATACTTTCTCGAAAATGCCCTCACACAATATTTCAGCCAGGGCCACGCTGCGAACAAGATTTGTAATTAAATTTAGCCTTGGCTGATTATACGTTTCGCAAATTGCTCGTCTTGCATTTACAGCGCAGTTCAGTTCAAGTTAACGTTCAACGTTGTGCGGCTCAGTCGGATTTCAACGCCGACGCGAACCAGAAATAATTTGGCAGCGCACCGGCACGAGTCTTTTTTTTTATCTTGCCCAAATGGAGGGAAGCATCGCGATGGCCATCTGCATGATCGTGTGCGCGGTGCACGGTGGTGGTGGTTTCCTCGACTGCCATCAGGCGAGACCGAGCACCGTGAACCCGGGATTATAAACCGTAACACAGCGAGTTGGCGGCCTCGCGAACACACCAGCATAACCCCCATCGTGGATATAAGTTGTCCGCTTTACGTAATTGAAATTTATTTTCATTTCTTGTTGAAGGCGGTTTTGAAGGTTAAACCCCCTCCTCGGCTTAAGCGTGTGAGACGTGATCCTCTGGGGAAAGTGGATTTGCTGCTAATAATTAATGTTCATGAGCGTGGAATGAGTACACAGGGTCACAAACATTGCATTTCGAAAGCAAGTGGTATTGCTTTTTACCACTGCCGCTCGGGGGGGGGGGGGGGTGGGGGGGCGAGATTTCTCCTCCCCCCTCTCACCACAAAATCAAAGAATAAAACAATTCTCATGCCGAAAAAACTAAGAATATGAATTACTGCAGTCACGAAAGCTTTAAATCAAAACTTAATTCTCATGCTCTTGATCTTTATCGGCCACGAGCCAGCGACAGAAAATGGCGTGCCCTTGCCGCAGCTCCAAGCTCTCTACGTAGGGAGAAAAAAAAACCCCAGCAGTGCCTGGGCATGCAAGTGGTGGTACTCGCTTTAACTCAAGTCGAGGATGGCTGAAGACGAGACAGCGTGTTGAAGTTGCCCAGGCAGAATCGGCGTGGCGTCTTCCGCGAGTGTTGCTCTCACAGATGTCTCCCCAATTTTTTCGCCGGCTCGTTGTGCGTGACCTCTTGTCCCGCTCGTGTTCACGTCTTCCGTCGCAAGGTTAAAGAATTCGGCGCGTTTGGTTTTTTTTCGCCCCACTCTTTTGTAGCGCGCGGCTGTGACCGCGACGGAGGGCGCTGGCCTTCGTGTGGAATCCCAATCGAGTCATTTGTGTGTACTTTTCGGAATTTCGACCATAACGCCGGCACACAATGACCTCAATGCACACAAAGTGCTTGCCACAAACGAACCACAACACCTTGCTGATCTCGCGAACTCCGGCCATCCTCGCAGCGGCGGCTTTTGGTTAACCATCGGACAAAGGTGGTCACCGCATCGCGAACTTTCACATGCTCTTCTGTGGTTATCTGGAATGCTCTTCCTTCCGATATTAGGAAGCCACCGGTGCTTTGCACTTTTAAATCATCATCTAGATTTAAAACTCATTTCTACAGAACCGCTTTTTTCTATTCGGATTGTTTGTCATTCCCCCGCACCTGCGACGAGAAGGGTTGGCCATGTACAGGTGCGAACGAAGGTCGGCACACACACACACAGGGGAATTTCATCTTCCGTTGTGAAGTAGACGGTGCGTCGTACTCTACGGTTCGTGCACCCGCAGCGTTGAGCGCACCAACCGGGACGAGCCCTCCGCATTAAAACTTCGAAACTCTGCAGCGAGCGACAAACACGGCCACCCCCCATCCCGCCCCCACCCACCCCTTACGCCCCCCCCACCCCCCCTAACGCCCCCCCCCACCCCCCATCCCGCCCCCCACCAGGCTCACCTGCAGCCGCATCTGCTTGGTGACGAGTTCACCGCGCTGGAGTTCTCACGGCGCGTGCAGAAGAAGGACGTAGGCAAGCGCATGCTGTACCGGGACCACAGCATGGCCGGCTGGTGGGAAGCACTGCCCCCCCCCCCCCCCACCTCGCCCCCCCCCCCCACCTCGCCCCCTATCACCTCGCCCCCCACCTCGCCCCCCCCCACCTCGCCCCCCATCACCTCGCCCCCCACCTCAACCACGAGTGCTTTGATATACGAGTGCTTTGGATTACAAACACGTTTCCGGAACGAATTTTGCTCTCATTCCAAGGTTTTACTGTATGCCGCTTTGGTATCTTGATGTCATCAGCATGAGCCATCCACGAATGCTGTTGCTGTGCACATGAAACGTTTAAGGAGAATGTTTGCTGCTACAGCAAATACCACGTATGGACGCAGTGTGGTCAGTTTCTGAAAGGGCAAATCGGTTCCGTACAAATCAGTGTTTGCAGCAAAATTCTCTTGAAAACTCTCTGACCTTGTCTTTCATTTAACGCGGCATTGCAATACTGTTTGCGGATGCCTGGGTATGGAGAAAGAAAATAACATTAAAACATGAAAGAACTGAATGTATGAAGTGTTCACTTGTGAAAGGAGTCATCAGTGTTTCAGTCAGCAGCTCCTCAAAGTTGGTATTCCTCCAGTGGCAATTTGCACAAAAATACCAGGTCAGGACAGATGCTTGTCCTCGGCACTCGTCAGCAACGATGTGGACGTTACCGAATTTCCCAACTCGACGTTCGAAAGTAAAGAAGAAGAACTGACCGCGTCACGTCGAAGCTACCGCCCACCACCGCAGCGCGCCACCACTTTTGGCAGCTATGGGACCACGCTGGCTCTCGTCGCGGAGTGCCGTGAGCACGTGACGAGGCCACGTGTGTACCATTTCTTACTTATCTTACTCCTCTTCGCTCCCCGCGGAGAATAAGGCCGCAACGAGCCCACGGCGTGGCGGACGCTCATCGGCAGCTTTCTCTGCTTTACCCCAAGGCAGGCCCGTGGTCTATAAACGCGCCATTTGCACGCGGGGAAATAAAAAGGGACGTGTTTTCTTTTCTGGAGGCGATACGTTTTTAAAAACCAATGTAGCATTTGCCAAAGCTGCAATTGTGTTCTTGTTTTTATACATTTACGTATATATATGAATAATGCATGGGTTTGTTTTATCCTGAGGGTTTAATCTTATAGGGCTTTTGTGATCAGGCCCATACAGTGTAGACCGTTTCAATATGGGCAAAACATTATTTTTTTCTATTTGTTTGCGTTCCTCCCTTTTGATGGGACTTTGTAGGATGAACGTTGAGATTTATAAAGGCACTGGGTGACCAATAAGGTCTGAATTTGTCTGTAATAAGGTAGGCACTGATAAGGGGTTGACAGGCATGCACATGTCTGTGTTTTCTTCAGTGTTTCCGCTGTTTGTAATTCACCACTTTTACCTCTGTTTCTATTTACTCTCTTCACGTTGTCTTGTTTGTTTTTATGTTTTCTACGCTTATAACCCATGCAAATAGACAGGAATAGGCGTGACAGCATCGTAGTAATCATGTCTACTTTACACAATTATGCGTAGTGTGGTGAATGCATCGTTACACGAGCCCTCGTCTTTTCACAGGGCGTACAAAACCATAGAGGAGGACGATCTGAAGTTCCCGCTGATCTACGGAGAAGGAAAGAAGGTACCCCATGTGCGAGAGATAGTTTTAACTATTGGGGTCATGGCACATCGACATGCTTTGAACACGCCAATACAGTGAGGGAATAATTTATTTGATCCCTTGCTGATTTTGTACGTTTGCCCACTGACAAAGAAATGATCAGTCTATATAATTTTAATGGTAGGTTTATTTGAACAGTGAGAGACAGAATAACAACAACAAAATTCAGAAAAACGCACGTCAAAAATGTTATAAATTGGCAATAGGTTTTTACCCTTTTAGCTGGCACAAAAACTGACACCTTTATACAAGGGATCATGTTTGCAATAACCACAACACAAGCAGTCAAAAATGAAAACAAAAAGAAACAACTCTGATAATGATATTGGCACTGTCCTTGAATTTGATTGGTCCACACCCGAGACGGCTTTTCTTAGAGCCTAGTCTCCACTGGTGTTGGACCAGATGACGCCAAAAGGCGTACAACTCAAAAACAGCGCACTATCAGGGTATTGAGAGCTCCGGGTAAGCCTTTACATTATGAGACCTCCTTTGCCAGTAACAATATATAGTAATAGGTTTTTACCCTTTTAGCTGGCACAAAAACTGACACCTTTATACAAGGGAGCATGTTTGCAATAACCACAACACAAGCAGTCAAAAATGCAAACATGATCCCTTGTATGAAGGTGTCAGTTTTTGTGCCAGCTAAAAGGGTAAAAACCTATTACTATATCTTGTTACTGGCAAAGGAGGTCTCATAATGTTATAAATTGATTTGCATTTTAATGAGGGAAATAAGTATTTGACCCCTCTGCACAACATGACTTAGTACTTGGTGGCAAAACCCTTGTTGGCAATCACAGAGGTCAGACGTTTCTTGCAGTTGGCCACCAGGTTTACACACATCTCAGGAGGGATTTTGTCCCACTCCTCTTTGCAGATCTTCTCCAAGTCATTAAGGTTTCGAGGCTGACGTTTGGCAACTCGAACCTTCAGCTCCCTCCACAGATTGTCTATGGGATTAAGCTCTGGAGACTGGCTAGGCCACTCCAGGACCTTAATGTGGTTCTTCTTGAGCCACTCCTTTGTTGCCTTGGCCGTGTGTTTTGGGTCATTGTCATGCTGGAATACCCATCCACGACCCATTTTCAATGCCCTGGCTGAGGGTAGGAGGTTCTCACCAAAGATTTGATGGTACATGGCCCCGTCCATCGTCCTTTTGATGCGGTGAAGTTGTCCTGTCCCCTTAGCAGAAAAACACTCCCAAAGCATAATGTTTCCACCTCCATGTTTGACGGTGGGGATGGTGTTCTTGGGGCCATAGGCAGCATTCTTCCTCCTCCAAACACGGCGAGTTGAGTTGATGCCAAAGAGCTCAATTTTGGTCTCATCTGACCACAACACTTTCACCCAGTTATCCTCTGAATCATTCAGATCTTCATTGGCAAACTTCAGACGGGCATGTATATATGCTTTCTTGAGCAGGGGGACCTTGCGAGCGCTGCAGGATTTCAGTCCTTCACGGCGTAGTGTGTTACCAATTGTTTTCTTGGTGACTATGGTCCCAGCTGCCTTGAGATCATTGACAAGATTATCCCGTATAGTTCTGGGCTGATTCCTCACCGTTCTCATGATCATTGCAACTCCACGAGGTGAGATCTTGCATGGAGCCCTAGGCCAGGGGAGATTGACAGTTCTTTTGTGTTTCTTCCATTTGCGAATAATCGCACCAACTATTGTCACCTTCTTACCAAGCTGCTTGGCAATGATCTTGTAGCCCATTCCAGCCTTGTGTAGGTCTACAATCTTGTCCCTGACATCCTTGGAGAGCTCTTTGGTCTTGGCCATGGTGGAGAGTTTGGAATCTGAATGATTGATTGCTTCTGTGGACAGGTGTCTTTTATACAGGTAACAATAGTTCATAGTTCATTTATTTGGTATAGCCCTGTGAGCCATTCGGCTCTTGAATCGGGTGCAACCGCAACAAACAAAAAACATGAACAAGAAAACATCTTAAAGTGATTATGTGACTGTGCAAACAGAAAATACAGGAAAAAAATATCAAAATATTCCTGAAATAGCACCGTACACCAACGCTGTGTGCATAAATCCCAGTGGGATGCAAGTCAAATAACAACAACAACAACAACCACAAGACAACTAAGATTAAGGCCATCAGTCTAACTCCGTACTACAATAAACAAAAACATGGCCAAAACAAAAAAAACTTTTCGAAATCATCAAAATAAAAGCCATAAATCCAATGTAACAGTGATCATAGGGACTGTGACCGAATTTTTAACAATAAACTACATAAATAAATTATAACACCAAAATCTAGAGCCATATTTTAGGCCACTGAATAGCAGTGGCAGCTAGGGTTGTACAACTCCTCTAGAGCAGTTTTGAGTGAAGATCTCATAGGTAGTGATTCAAGTTGCAGTTTATTGGCAATAGCATTCCAGACCCTGGGGGCATCAATAGCAAAGGCCCTTCCTCCAGTTTTTGTACGGCAATAGGGAATGTGAAGCTGGTAAATGAGCGAAGACCTGAGGTCAAATTTGTTCTTTGAAACAGAGAGGAGATCCAGTAGGTAGTCTGTGGAATTTTTTGTAAGTACATCGTGAATAAATAAGATCTGGTGCACAAGCCGTCGAACATTAAGAGATGTTAAGTTTGACCCAATGTAGAGATCACAGTGGTGAGTCCTATATGGGCAGTTCAATGCAAATCTTAAGGCCGAGTGATAGATGGAATCAAGCTTCTTCAGTACAGTACTTGGGGCTGATTTATACACGATGTCACAGTAGTCAAGTAGAGGCAGTATGGTAGCTGTATGGTAGCTGAGATTAGGAGCACTCCCTTTAAGAGTGTGCTCCTAATCTCAGCTCGTTACCTGTATAAAAGACACCTGGGAGCCAGAAATCTTTCTGATTGAGAGGGAGTCAAATACTTATTTCCCTCATTAAAATGCAAATCAATTTATAACATTTTTGACATGCGTTTTTCTGGATTTTCTTGTTGTTATTCTGTCTCTCACTGTTCAAATAAACCTACCATTAAAATTATAGACTGATCATTTCTTTGGCAGTGGGCAAACGTACAAAATCAGCAGGGGATCAAATACTTTTTTCCCTCAATGTATGCACAGGGCCCACGATCGTGGTGCTCGGCGTAGACTTGTAATTTTTTGCGAGCACGGTGAGTGAAATTCACCTCGGCTGCCCCCTTTCTCCAGAGCGCGCGTTTTCAAACTTGACAATAAACAAGTCGGTGCCTCTTGTAAAATCTCGACGTCCAACCGAGACTGTGGTCATTAATTGCCTTGCTTTTTTTGGATGAGGGTCATCTTTGAAACTGGGCTTTTGTCAGCAGATGCGGTTGCTTCATCGTGCGTAGCAGCAGCAGCTCGACTGAAGCCTCCCGCTGCTGATGCCCTGCCCACCAATGGCCCTGGTCGCATGCGCTCTCACCTCGCCACGCTCCTCGTTGAGCATCCCTTCGTTGCACGCTCCCTCTCCGTTGCTGTTGTTCCGCAACCTTCGTGCGCCGGACACCGTTCCTGCCGGCGCCATGACCTTCTTCCCGAGCCCTTTTTACATAGTCGCCACCGTAACGTCTCCAAATAACGGTTGTTGTCTAAGTCGTTCCTTTCTCTCCTCTTCTCGGAATAAAAACACGAGCGGCGTGCCACCCAATGTGCTGCAGCGATGCAGTGATGGTCGTGTCCCCCGCAAATGATATGGTGCACACCTAATGGCAGTGGCCTTCGCTAAATTACAGAGCACCTCATGATTGATGGCGCTGGTCCCTGTAAGAGATATCCGCTCACCGAGTGACTATACCACTCGTGGATCCACTTCCTCCAAAAATTAATGGCCCCATAAGTCCGCCGCCAAAGCCATCGTCAATTGTGAGAGCATCGACTTCCTTCGCCGTGTGGCGTTTTTCGGAATGTTAACTAATTAAGAGTCCGGTATATTTGACTCGACAAATGAAAGTAACGCACTAAACCAATTATTTTTCTTATCTTAATGAGATTTTTATAGCGCCTTTACCAAGGCGCTTTACAGCAATTATAACATTTGTACCATAGCGTGATAATTCAAATGAATACTTGGGTTATTGTAAGTGGTGGTGTACTTTTGATGATAGTTAAACAAGAGGGATTGATAAGGTGGGGTTGGGATAGGCCTGGTCCTAGCTGGTGGGGGGGGGGGGGGAGCGATAGAAAGCTGGGGGGGGCTGAAAATTAATCGGGAAGACAAAGGGGGGGGGGGCGGGCGGGGGGCTGGAGCCAGGAGGGAGAAGGGGGCCCACCATGATCGGAGTCCCCCGCACCGCCGAGGACAACGTCCGCATCGTCCGTGCAGCAGCTCACCACAAGTGTAAATCACGTGATGATGGTGCCTTCGTTTGAACGTCCTTCCAGGTCCTGTCTTACTCTACGTTGTGTGTTGTGCGAGTGCCTCGGTGTCGTTGGGTGTTGTCCATGCATAGATTATTCTTAACAATAAGCATGTGTGTCTTTTGAACTTATTTTGCACCGTATGTAGCCAACCCTGCTAATCGGAGGTGCCAACCGAGCAAAAATATGCCTCCCTTGGTGAATATACTGCTTGATCAAAGCCTCCCCATTGATTGGTCACGAGTGCTGTTTGACCATACTTCACCATACTGGTTGGCGTACTGGTCCAGGTTTAACTCGCCGCTGATTTAACCATGGACAGGGCTCCCCAACTCGGGGAGCCGGGCTCATCGCTCTTGGCCGTCGTACCTGAACATATTGATGTCTTCGCATTAACTGCAATCAGTCCACATTGCCAATAGCTTGGCAAGCTATTAGCAATGTAGACTAATCAATCTCGCACGTAAATTAGCAGCTCTCTCACCTTGTTTCACTTGAACTCTTTTTTTTGCTGCCTGACTTCTACCGATTTTGGCGGTGAATCTTTAAAATAGTGAAGCCTTAGTAATGGTGCGTGCGTGAGGGCGACGTTTAGGGCTTTCGCAAGCGT